GAGCCCAGGAGTTTGAGGTTGCTGTGAGCTAGGCTGATGCCACAGCACTCACTCTAGCCGGGGCAACAAAGCGAGACTCTGTCTCAAAAAAAAAAGGGACTTGAGCACCTATGGATTTTGGTATCCATGGGGGTTTCTGGGCCAACTCCCTGTGGATTCCCTTTCCTGAAGGATGACTGTATATACTCAGTAAAGCTGACTGTTTCTTCTGGCCCAGGGCTGCCTAATCACGTACCCATTGCCAGTGTACTCCATGCCCCGTGTAAAAGGCCTCTCTGGTCAGTTTGAAGTCCAAATTTGACCATGTTAAGTCCATTTGATTAGTAAACCACTATTACATTTTTTAAAAATGCTTTGTCGCTGTGGATGAAAAGAACAGACTAGTGATTTAGAGTTGGAGGTGGGGTATCCAGACGGGCATTTGATCAGGGCTAGTCCTAGAGCACACCAGCTGTTTGCCCACTATTGGCACATCACAGCAGCCATCACGAATACGAATACTCTCTCTGAGTATTCTAGCTGGGTCAGCAATATGCACTTGAAATGCTGGGGTTAAAAATCTGGTATTTTTTTGTTTTGTTTTGTTAATAAAAATTAAACATCTAGAAAAAGGAATTATGGCAGAGGGAAGTCTTAGATTTTTTTTCCCCCAAAGACTTAATAGCTATGAGTAAGATCTTGGTAGAGATGCACGCCCAGGCTTGTACGGCTTATGTTTTATTTCAGAAGTGGGAGTAAGGGGTCAAATACTATGAAGAGAACTGTGTCCTTGGCTGTCACTTAATGACTGACGCAATTTTTCAAAAACCCAGAAGCCTCCCTATTTTATTTTAAAAACTTAATTTTCACTGCATTCTCTTAGTACTTTATAAATAACTTGAGAATGAAATGGACTCTAAAGGTACATAAAACTGTCCCAGGTTAAGACAAAAATAAATAAAGTGATTTTTCATTAAAGTAAAGAAATCAGTTTGAGTAGTGTGCAAACATGGGTGGAATTTTGCAAGGAATTTTATTTTGGGGGAAAATAATAGGCTTAAATTAAAAATGAAAAAAATACCTAGCCTGTCACCCTTTCAAGAAAAAATAGAGAGTAAATGGTCTGACAAAGACTAAGAGAACGATTAGGGCGGAAACTGAGGTATTGTTAGATTGCGCTTTTTCCCTTGCGCGGAGGGAGGGTGTAAGGGAGTGGGATTTTGCACAAGAGTTTTATGAATATAGATCAATGAGTTTTTCTAAATGCATATTGTCTTCTGTGCTAAGACCAAGACGAAAGAGTAGTGGGTAATGTTACCGGAGGAGTGATAAACATTCGGTATTAGGACCGACTGCTTGTGTCCGTTCTCTTTACCACTTTGTCTGTCTGATACTCAGAGGGTGCCTGACACTGTATATTTTATATTTATTCTAAAATGCAATTTTTTAAAAGAACATTTTTACATCTGTGAAATCAGAACAGATCTTTACAATGGCACCATAAAATTAATTGGCAGCATTTTAGAATGTCATGTAAAATAATAGTGCTTCTTACAATGAATGGTGTTTTCAATTAAACTAAACTATATTATTTGTTCACTGAAGGCAAAAATGAATGAATAGCTTAGGAATTAGGATGTTTATGAGAAGCTTGAATGTGTTACTAAGAAAAAGTCTGCAGGAAATAAACCACTTTGTTTTTTTGAGTTTAAACTCTCTTTGGGGTTCATTGAACATTTAGAAACTGTAAATTTATGTCTTCCACCAAATTTGGGAAGTTGTCAGCCATTTCTTCAAGTAGTTCTTCTGCACTGATCCCTTTCTTCTCTCCTTCTGATACTTCAATTTTGTGAATGTTAGACATTTTGAAATTGGCCAACAAACAGGTCACTGAAGCCCTGCTTGTTTTCTTTCCCAAGCCTGCCTTTCTGTGCTTCAGAGTGCATGTACTTCCTGTTGACTGCAGGTTCACCGACTCTTCCCTCTGTCATCTCCATTCTGCAGTTGAGCCCATCCAGTGAGTTCATTTCAGGTTTTACGTTTTTGGGTTCAACGTTTCCATTCAGTTCTTTTTTTATAGTTTCTGTTTCTGTGCTGAGAATGTCACTCTTTCTGTTCGTTTTACTTTTACTTCATGGAACATAGTTACAATAGGTGCTTTAAAGTCATTGATGATTCCTAAAATCTGGGTTATCTTAGGGTTGACATCTGTTAATTGTTTTTTTACCTTGAGAATGGGTCATATTTTCCTATCTTGTTTTTGTTTTGGGCATGTCAAGTAATTTTGGATTGTATTCTAGACATTGTAAATGTTCTGTTTGGATCCTGTTACATAATCTTCTGAAGAATGTCAATTTTTTTTTTTTTTTTTAATTAAACATGCCGTCACCCTGGTTAGGTTCAGACTACACGTTCAGTCGTGCCATTTCTGGGTGGTGATTCCAGCGTCAGTTCAGTCTCCAAAGCCTTTCGTATGCTCTTTTCTATCTGTCCTGCACACGTGCCACTCGGAGGTTAATCTGAGACTTGGCAGTGGTTTAAATCTTAGTTGAGTTCTCAAAGCCTTTGCTGTGTGCTGCTTTGGCTCCATCCTGCACAGCTCAGGGATGAGCCTGGGATTGGTGTGAGCTTATACACAGTATTGTGGGAACCGTCAGGTTTCTCCTCTCCTCATTTGCACGCTTTCTAGCCTTCAGGGGCTCCTTTCCCTTTAGTCCTATGGCCAGAAAGATGGCGTTTCTGTCAGTTTTACCTGCCTTCATCACTACCACCATGCAGCTCTGTGACTGCAGACTGTCCTTGGGGCAAAACCATAAGAGAAAAAAAAGAGGGGAAAAATCCCACCAAGACCCT